AATCTTATCTCCATTAGTCAATTATGTGAGCATGGTCTAACTGTTACCTTTTCCCGTTCTGGTTGTTTGGTGCATGACCCTCGGACGGGGCAAACTCTTGGGATAGGCCGTAAGCATGGACGTCTCTATGAACTCATCCATCTTCATGTTCCAGATTCCTCTCAGATCACAGCTCCTACCACTGCTACCGCTGCTCCTCCTTTATCTCTTTTTTAGCTTTGGCATTGTCGTTTAGGCCATCTTTCTATTGATCGTTTAAAATCTTTAATTTCCAGTGGTCATTTAGGTCATGTAAGTTCTGATGTTTTAGATTGTGTGTCCTGTCAACTTGCCAAACAACCTGCCTTGTCGTTTAATAAAAGTGACTCTGTTTCTCTTGCCCCATTTGATCTCATTCACTCTGATATTTGGGGACCCTCTCCTACTCCTACTATGGGAGGCGCACGCTATTTTGTTGTTTTTATAGATGATTTTTCCCGTTTTACATGGTTGTTTCTTATGAAAAATCACTCTGAGCTCAAACAACTTTATTACAATTTTGCTGCCATGGTTAAAACACAATTTTCTAAAAATATTAAGCTTTTTCGCTCCGACAATGCCATGGAATATAAAGATTTTGACTTTCTTTCTTTTCTTCAGCGTCATGGTACTCAACCTCATCGTTCCTGTCCTGGTACGTCTCAACAAAATGGACGTGCTGAACGGAAACATCGACATATCCTTGACACTACTCGTGCTCTCCTTCTGTCTTCCTCTTGTCCGGAACATTTTTGGGAAGAGGCAGCTCTCACTGCTGCTTACACTATCAATTGTATCCCTACACCTGTCATTCATAATCACACTCCTTATGAGCGTCTGCATGGCACCCGTCCCCCTTACACCACCCTTAGGGTCTTTGGATCTGCCTGTTTGGTTCTTCTCCAACCTCATGAACGTGCCAAACTTGAACCACGTTCTCGCCTTTGTTGCTTCTTAGGGTATGGTATTGAACACAAGGGGTATCGTTGTTGGGATCCTCTCTCCCAGCGACTCCGTATCTCTCGTCATGTAGTCTTTTGGGAACACAAAATGTTTCTCTCTCTCTCTCTCTCTCTCTTCCGTTTGTTCGTTCCCTCATCCTCTCTGTTTTTTACTGACCCTTCCACGGATCTGTTCTCCGATGAGCTTACCCCACCGTCCTTGCCAGCCTCTCTCGAGTTCTCTGATGAGCTTACTCCACAGCCCCTACCAGTCTCTCTCAAGCTTGCCTTGCCTACTGGTCTGTCCTATGCACCTGCTACCTCTGATGGTCCTGCTTTTGTTCCCTCGGGATCCTCCTCTCCTTGTGAGTCTCTCCATTTGGCTCCTCCTGCCTCTACTCGACCACATCGGGTAACCCAACCTTCTACTCGTCTTCGTGACTTTATTGTTGGTTCTACTGCTTTTTCTACTTATGAACCGACCTCCTATCGTGAGGCTTGCTCTAATCCTCTTTGGCTGCAAGCTATGACTGATGAATTGCAGGCTTTAGACAAAACTCACACTTGGGACATTGTTGATCTTCCTCCTGGCAAGACTACCATTGGTTGCAAATGGGTCTACAAAATCAAAACTTGTTCTGATGGATCTATTGAGCGCTACAAAGCCCGCCTTGTTGCCAAAGGCTTCAACCAAGAATATGGTATTGACTATGAGGAGACCTTTGCTTCTGTTGCTCGTCTCACCTCTGTTCGCAGCCTAATTGCGGTTGCTACCACTCGACACTGGGATCTTTATCAAATGGACGTGAAAAATGCTTTCCTTAATGGTGTTCTTCTTGAGGAGGTTTACATGCAACCTCCCCCTGGGTCTACTTATCCACCTCATAAAGTCTGCAAACTTCAGCGTACTTTATATGGTCTCAAACAAGCTCCGCGTGCTTGGTTTGCCAAGTTCAGCTCTACTATTCATGACTGTGGTTTCACCTCCAGTTCTTATGATACTGTTTTTTTTATCCGGAACACTGCTCAAGGGACCACCTTGCTTCTTCTTTATGTGGATGACATGATTATCACCGGTGACGATCTTGATGGTATTCTATGCCTTAAACAGTTTCTTAGCCATCATTTCGAGATGAAAGACCTTGGTCCTCTCAGCTATTTCTTGGGTCTTTAAATCTTACATGATTCCACGGGGTCTTTTCTCTCTCAGGCCAAGTATACCTCTGATCTTCTCATCCGCGCTGGTCTTACAGATTGCAAGACTGCCTCCACTCCGCTGGAGCCTCAGAGTCGTCTTACACCTCTTGATGGCACTCTTCTCTCTGATGCTACCCTATATCGTCAGCTGGTTGGCAGTCTTGTCTATCTCACTGTTACTCGTCCTGATCTTGCATATGCCGTTCATATTGTCAGTCAGTTTATGTCAGCTCCTCGTACCCCTCATTATGCTGCATTAGTTCGTATCCTTTGTTATCTCAAAGGTACCTTGTTTCATGGACTTCATTATTCCGCTCGCTCCTCTCTCCAGCTTCGTGCTTTTTCCGATGCTGATTGGGCTGGGGATCCTATTGACCGGCACTCTACTACCGGGTTCTGCTTTTTCTTGGGTGATTCTCTTATTTCTTGGCGCAGCAAGAAACAATCTCTTACTGCTCGCTCCAGTACCAAGGCCGAATATCGTGCTCTTGCTGATACTACTCAGGAGCTTCTCTGGCTTCGTTGGCTTCTTGCTGACATGGGTGTTTCCCCCTCTGGTGCTACTGCCCTCTTTTGTGACAATCAAAGTGCTCTTCAAATTGCTCACAATGATGTTTTTCATGATCGCACCAAGCACATTGAGATTGACTGTCATTTTATTCGTCAACACGTCACTCGTGGTACTGTCCATCTCCATCCAATCTCCTCTGCTGATCAACCTGCTGATATCTTCACCAAAGCTCATTCTGCTGGCCGCTTCGTTGAACTTGTCTCCAAACTCCAGTTGGTTGATGTTTGTCCTCCTTGAGTTTGAGGGGGGCTGTTAACATATATTAATATAATTGTTAATATAATATGTTATAGTATGTATATAATATAATATGTTATATATTATATAATAGGATTCCTTTAATATATTATAGTATGTATATAATAGGATTCCTTGTCGCTGCTTTCGGTCGCCCGCCCTCTTTCGGCCTCCTTTTCTTTATTATATTAAATTATATCATAATGATGTTTTGTATTCAGCTCCTATATTATGGAGCCTCTATTTGGTTTCTGAATACAGTTTCAATTACAGAAAGTTCACTTTCAATATCACTCTCTCAACTCTCTCTCAACTTGTTTTACACATATTACATCATTTAAAAAAAGTTTGGATTAATATTCTCCAACCACAAAGTGAGAGAATTAAATTATAATTATTGTGGAGGAAGATGTCTGACTGGATATTTGTTTTGGTGATATAATATAGTTGAGAAAAATGGAATACTAGGGATTCTATTCTAGAACTACGAAAAGATTCCTTGGAATCTAAATATTTCAGCATATAAAGCCTAAGGGTGCATTTGGAAATTCGATGAATTCCCTCCCCCCCCAAAAAAAATCTTAAATATATAAGGATGGAAAACGTTATAATATAGAGAGATGAAATAGGGTGAAAGGTGGATATATTGAAAGAAACATGGTAGAAGACATAATCAAAGTTTGGAAATTGGTTCCTTTCAAGCAAATTCAATTGGGATTAATTGGAAACATATATGATTTAAGTTTTCAAGCTTAGCAGAGTAGTATTATAAGATAATTTAAGCTAGATTAAATTTTATTTATTTTTATATGTTATCTAATGTTTCAGATGTCAAGGGTATTTTGGCGATTTGAAGTCCTGGACATGGACTGCAGGGGTTGCTTATGGAGCTTATTTGGAATTAATTAGGTTTTAGAAATCAAAACTCTAGTTTCCTAGTTACTAACACTGCTCCTAGTTTTTGCAAGGCTTTTGGTCATTCTAAGCACTTGCATCCTTCCTCTTTGGCTCCCCAAGCAAGTCTCAAATGAATGGAGGATTAAGGAGAGGGAAAGCAGTATATCCCAAAATGAATGGAAGGAGATATCACTTGCAGGAAAAGGAAAACACAAGTTGTTTATCATCGAAGTCTTTGGAGCAAAAAGGCAATGGAATTTCTAGGAACTCCGATATGTTTGATGTTCGTAGCTCTTGCACCACTATTATGCCTAGTGAGGCGAATGGCAGATTAGTTAACAGACCCCAGAATAGCAAGAGAGAAGGTTAGAACAATTCTTCTTGTCAAACCAAACAAATTAAGTTAAAAAACGTGTGGCAAGCAACCAATTTTGTCAAAGCAAGGGCAAGGAGGGAATCACAAACCTCCTTACTTTATGTGTTTTGGTTGTATATATATTCTCTCGGGTTGTGAGACATCGGTGTGTTAACTTAGCCTATCGAGCTGTGAGAGGTTTTGCTATGTAGGCTAGGCATGTGCTTTCCTCCTATTGGGGGTGGTGCCTTTGGGCATGTCTTGAGGTTCACTGTGTATTCTATATTTTTTGGTACTAAAATGCATACTTAACAAAAAAAGAAATAGAAAAATGGACTGCAATTAGGATATTGATATGGATGTGAAGAAATAAAAAGAAAAAGAAAGACTGATAAATGAATTTAATCAAAGTTAAGCAGCAGTGATTGAGGATAAGAAGAGAGGAAGTTATCTAATTCAACGTAATGACATTTGTGTGAAGTTGGGAACATAAAATATCTATTATGTTGCTTGTAGGTTAGGATTTTGGTTATTTCATAATTTCATTAGAGTATAATCTCTAGTAAACAACAGAAAGAGGGTGAGTTGGGCATCATATCTATGGGCGTGCCTTATTTTCCATTGTTCTTTCACTCTTTATTTATATTTTTCTTGTATTCTTTCTCATCTACTGATATTCAAATGTGAAAGTTAAATAGTTATGATCACTATTGCCATTCTTTTTGTTTTTAGTTGATGTTGGCCACTTATTGCATCTTTTATTTGTTATCTTAAATAGTGTAGAAATCATGATTTCTTCTTTTGCAGTGATGAGAAGTTGAGAGCGGCATTTGCATGTGGAAGACAAATACAGAGTTTGCCCCAGAGACATTTCTTAAATCAAGTACTTGGAAAGGTTGAAACTCTCCCTGATGGTTTATGTATGCCAAATCATCATTATAGCACTAATTGTAATGATAATGGCATAAGCAAGGGAACAAATAAGGTTTGTGTACAAGCTGTCGATGACTTCTCTTCTAGTGTAGTTTCATTGTTTGCAAGTCATTGCATAGATAAAATTATCTAGCAATTTGATTTTGATATGAATAAAGCTTCAACTTGAGTTGGAACTGCATGATTAAACTTGAGTGTTTCTAATCATCTTCTACTGCACAAATTCAAGGTTTGTGATGCAGGGAAAACTTGAAGGAAATAGGTAGTGCACAATGATTACATTAGGTCGTTAACATCATTGTAAGTTGAGAAGAACTGAACAAGGAATTTGGGTGTATTCTTAGAAGGCTATTTTTCTGTCTGAAAGGTTTTCTAAATCTGTAAGTAATGTCCTTGATGCAGAGCGAGTCCAGAGTTAATTGAACGATTTTTCTCAGTCAAAGATGGTCATGGAATTTTTCATTTCTCTTTCCTCTGTTAATTCTCTTTCTAGTTTTCTCGATGCTTCTTAATAAAATAATCATCATTGATAGTGCTTTTTACCATATTCTAAACCCAAGGTTTGAAATTAATTGTTTCACAAACCTTGAACCTTCTTCCCTTATTTTGGAAATTTAACTCACCACTTCTGATGGCAATAGTGTCATAGAACTTGACAAGCCAAGGCTGTCTTGCATCAGTGTGTTTTCTCATTTTTTTTTTTTTTTTTTGCAGAGGGCCATATGATCTAATGTTGTATACAACTTGCAGTTTCTGAAAACCATACCAAGATATGTGAAGATAGTGGAAGTTGGTCCAAGGGATGGGTTACAAAATGAGAAGGAGAATGTACCTCCCTCCGTAAAGATTGAGTTGACAAAGATGCTCGTTTCTTCTAGGTTACCTGTTGTTGAGGCCACTAGCTTTGTTTCGCCAAAATGGGTACCACAGGTAAATTGCGTTCAGTTGTTTTCAAGAGATTATTATTATGTATATAGGTAGGTAGTTAGCCTTACACCCACTCTCTTTTTTCTTCTTCTTCGTCTTCTTTCTTTTTTTGTTTTTTTGTTTTTGTTTTTTTTGTTTTGTGTTTTTTTGTTTTGTGTTTTTTTTTTTGGAGAGATCAATTCCTGTTACTCAAACTTGCACCAGTGTGCTGGGAGCAGATAGTTTGCTCCTGGTCACGACCTCTAATAGTAATCACTAATGTCTTACTTTTATAAGTCTTTAACTATTGACAAACAGATTGGTTGTTGTAATAGGATAACTTCGAAAGTGTGTCCAATACATGTTGGTGTGTGTATGAAGGGTCTCAAAATCCGACATGTCTAGGACACAAACACGACACCCTAGTAGGCATGTCCATGCTTCTGAGCTTGCTTGAGCATGAAGCTATGAAATTTTCACCATTCACATTACAGAAAGCTCAACATCAAAGAGATGACCATGAATGGTAATAAGTCATAATTAATTGAATCTGCTGTTAGTTTGTACTCTTATTTTTTTTTTAACCCATGTTTTGACTTCAAGTGATCCTTTTAGTTAGTTTAAGTCCTCTTGTAATACTTATTGGCTTCATTTGATTACAATGCCTTATGAATGGATACCAAGTCCAGACATATTATAGATATAGTTAATGCAATCTGTGGGGTTTCTTTTCTAGATTATAGTGCTTCTTTATCTGTCTTTGATAGGAATATATAGCAGTTCGATAAAAATTGGAGTAAAATGCATTCTTTTAAAAGTATCATAATCAAAATTGCAGCTAGCAGATGCAAAGGATGTACTCGAGGCAATTCAGTGTGTTGAGGGAGCTAGGTTTCCTGTTTTAACCCCTAATCTTAAAGTAAGTTTCCCTTTGCAGCAGACCGTTCTGTTGCACAACAATTTCTAATCTGTCTAGAAAGCATATGCAGTGTTTTGTTTCCCTTTCTTCAGGGTTTTGAGGCAGCTGTTGCAGCTGGAGCTAAGGAAGTGGCCATCTTTGCTGCAGCTTCCGAGTCTTTTTCGAAGTCAAACATAAACTGTAGCATTGAAGATAGCCTTACTCAACATCGTGATGTTGCGCTTGCTGCTAAAAAGCTCTCAATTCCTGTCCGTGGGTATGTCTTGTGATTCCCTCTTAACTTTTCACCTTTTCATGGAAATATATCTGACATTTTCAGTTTGCTGTTGTCTTGTCTAGTGAGATTGTTGTATGTGTGTGTGTGAAACATTTAATATTAGGTCATGTGAAGAAACCATAACTTAGATTTAGGCATTGGAATTATAATGACGTCCCCAACGTTTGATGCTGTATTTTCCTAATATTGGATCTATTTGAAAAAGCAAATTCAAAATCCTAAAACCACATTTGATAATTGGCTGAAATGTTATCATATTAACGTATAAATCTCTTATCATGGGTTTGTTGTGTGCTTACTACCTATGGCCTTCTACTTATCTTTACATTGAGGAGCTTTTATCTTCTATTAATGTTGTGTCATATGTTAAAATGTTATAAAGGATTATTGTTGTTAGGATTATGGGACACCAGAAATCAATTCCACACAATAACACTAGAATATTTACGTGGTTCGGCAATTGTCTATGTCAACGGAGAGGTATCCACTATAGAATTATTCCGGAGGGAGATTACAGAAAGATTACAATAGAGGAGGAGCTCACACTCTCCTCACTCACCCACTCACCTATCTCCCTCGCTCACACCGAGGGAGACGGTCTCTCCGCTTCATATCTCTCACTCTCTTTGGTTGCTCTTTCTCTCTCTCAACTCTCCTCTCACCCTCTCCGTTTATACACATTACATATGGAGGTGGAGAGGCTGGCCTTGCACATGGCCAGTTGTCTTGTGCGTTGGCTTCACATGGCCAGCTTGTTCCAACATGTTGCCACACATGAGAAATGATCACCCCTCACATGGGGTGATCTGTAACAAATCACCCCCTCAACCCATGTAAGGTGATCCACTATACACACTGTTGCTAATCTTGTCACGCCCAAATTTCAGTATAGTCTCCTTCTCCTCACTGAGACGTTTGCACCCCCTGAAGTTAGAGATAATACACCAGAGATACAAGAGGAGGAGGGAATCCTACATCCTCAACTTAACTCACACCACTCTCTGATTTGGAGAGAGCCTTTGCTCCTATCTCCCACAGATCTCTTCTACGCTTTCTGTCTCGGATGCCTTCACTTGCTATGCTTGAACTTGTGTAACCAATATATCCGACACCCCCTGATTGGATGTCCTGCACCTCCTGCTGGGATGCCCTTGACTGTCATGCATTACCTCGTAGGACCAGTCATTGGAGCAATAGAAAACTCGTCGTTTATCCCATCAACGTCCTCGATTTTCTTTGCTCGGAGCTTTTTCTTTGAACTATTAGCCTTTGCCCTCTGCACTTCTGAACAACCTCCTAGCGTTTCCATATACGCTCGTTGTCTGTGCTTTTGCAATCCCTGATTTGCTGTCCAGTAGATTGATAGTTGACAGTAGCTCCATCTGTCAAAGCATTGTCAGCTATGCAATTCCTTGTATAGTGCTCGCACCCATGGCTTCTGGTCTATAGCGATCCCGGTTTTCCCTTTGGTATTTGTTGTATTCTAGACTTTGGTTCCGTGGAGTTGGTGGTTGTATACCTTGTTGTCATCCTTTACTTCTTTTGTTTGAGTTTTGGGATAGGTTGAGTATGTTTCGAGCAGGTGGGTTGAGCCTTGGTCTAAATTCTTGTTGCTAGGTTTTTGGTTGTTCCGCTCGAGCGGGGTTTACACCCTTCCAGCATTTCGTGTCCCTGCAAAACTTCTGCAGGTGTGTTTTCTACGCTCGAGCGGGTTGCGCTCGAGCGGTCTTGTTGGTGCTCGAGCGGGTAGTACCTTGTTGGTGAAAGTTCTGGGAGACGAAAATCTACGCTCGAGCGGACTGGTCTTTCGCGCTCGAGCGGGTATGTCTTGTCTTTGTATCTTGGCGCTCGAGCGGCCCTTATTGCGCTCGAGCGGATCCAGTTTTCTGTTCTTGACGCTCGAGCGTTGTGTTTTCCGCTCGAGCGGGAATGTCGTATATCAGTTGGCAGCTAGACATTTTAAAATCACTTTTCACATTCTCTCTCTCTCTCTCTTACTTTCCAAAAAGACATTTTGAGAGCTCCTCTCTCTAGAAACTCTCTTCTCTCTAGGGTTTGATCTAGTTAGAGTGTCTCACTATCCTCCGGCCTTTGTTAAAGTTGTGTTGATCGTCGAGGGTTATGTTTTGATCCGAGAATATTGAGTTTTGGAGCACGTTGAGTTTCTTCATCTTCTTCCCTTGGGCTCCGAATTTGAGGTAGGGATTCCTACTCACTCTTATGGTCTTTGACATAGATTTTGGATTGTTTTGATAAAGTGTGGAAGTTGGGTAATTTTGGGACTTAGGGTTTCAAAATCTTAAAAGAGGGTTTGTTATTTTGATTCTAAAAATGTGTATTGTGAGTTTCAAAATAATGATATTGTTGTTGATTGGCGATATATAGGCCATTGGGTCAATATTGGGAAATGGGGTAGAAAACCCTAATTTGTTGTATAAATTAATTGGTATAATTAATTTGAGAAAATTGTGGACTTGTGGAATCGAGTTGGAAATAATGAAATTGGCTCATTATGTTATGAAATGGTGGAGTTGGATTTATTAATCGCTCACCCTTGAAAACATTGATATTTTATCTGTTGAAGCTTTTATTATCTGTTTAGAAATAATTGCTTGGGCTACCGGTGGAGGGTAGTTTTGATTGTTGTAGACAATGCATGATGATTAGGCAAACTAAAACTAATCAATTGGTTATGTCATAGAGTATGACGGTTGATAGAATACATTAACGTTATGTATTGATTGATTGTGTATATGACCTATGTGTATATACATTGTATCAACCACACCACCAAACGGGGAACTCAACTGGAGAGCACCGACAGAATAGACTAAGCCCCGAACAACCTGTCACAGAAATATAAGAATCTAGCGGTGGTTCGTCCACTTGGGGGAACTCTGACGGACCTCTAAACCGAATGTTGTTTGGGAGGAGATAGGGGATGGACTCCACTGATACAGCTCATATGCTTGTCAGATAATGTGGTGATACAGCTCATATGTTTATCTATGAAAGTGTTGATACAGCTCATATGCTTATCTCTAGAAGTGTTGATATAGCTAATATGCTTATCTATTGAAATGTGGATACAGCTTGTATCTGTTGAGATGTTGATACAACTAGTATGTTTATCTATTGTAAAATGAGAAATGTTTAATATGAGTCACTGTCTCATACAAGTGGTTGGCCAGGTTCTGAGCCGTTGATGTAAATTGTGAAATTGATATGACATGAAAAATGAAATGAAACACGAACACATGGGTCATGAAATGGAAATGGGTTATGTATTGATTGGTGGAAATTGAACATTTATCAATTGCTAATGTCTTAGTTATTGCTCATACTGTGTTTAGCATATCTCTACTGGGCGTTGGCTCACCCTATATGGGACATTATTTTCAGGTACAGGTAGCATGCCACCTCTAAGAACATAGCTTGGATGATGATGAGAGTTGAAGACTCTTTTTTTTGTTTACTGTGTTTGTATTACATGTATATCAAGCCGAGGGCTTATTTTGTATAGAGTTAGTACTCTTCCTTTGTGTAACCAAGTGTTGACTTGAAAAGCTGTAAGCCCGTAGGACATTTGCTTTTGTTGTTAACATGTAATACGGTTGTAAGAATTACTTTGATGAATAGAAATGGTTAATTTCTTTTGTATCAATGCATGTCTAAAGTGATGGATTTTATGTATTATTTTGGGGGCGCTACATGGTCTCTCTGCGTCGAGCTCGCTTGAGAGATCTGTATCAACTCTATTCTCCGCTGCCATGGAAATAAAGAAACCACCATAGAGAAAAGAGACTTGCCACTCATTGGCGCGCACTTTTGCGTTTTACCTGTCTCAATTTCTCTGTCTGGAAGTTCCTGTGAACTTTCAATAACCCATTGCTACACACTCTTCTCACGCCTCTGTACGACACTGTACCCTTGTACTGCTGCACGTCTGCATTTGTGCTTTTGCGCTTAATATGCTCCTTTGTAACTATTGTTCTACACGTCTACATACCACCAGTACCTACTCGTATACAGTAGCTCCAACAGCCACAGCATTTTCCTGAGCCTGAACTGGTTGCCAAATCATCTATCCGTCTATGAATGGTCTTTTTGATTGAACCAGATCTTCTGATCAACTCCGGAGATAATCATCTCTGTAATCCTCTGATCGCCCCTGACCAATCCTGATCTTTCTTGGTTTGCCATTTGATCAAGCTGATCTCCTTTGGTCTTCAATGATCTATCTCGATCTGTATCTGGTTATCCAATCTGGTCAGAATCTGTCCATTCTAACCTCTTCAGTGAATTCGCAGCGTTCCACAATATTCAGCAACCTTCCTTCGACTATTAAAGATGACAAACTCCCATGTTTTGACAATCTTTCAAAAAACTGTTCAGAATTTCACTATTCTGACCTCGCGGTTACGTTCGGAGCGGTCCGTTTAGCTAGGACCAACCTTCGCTGCACTTCCGGGGACCTCACTGAAAATAATCCTTGAAAGTTGGGCCACACCATAATTTTTTGAAAATTCTGGGCCAAATTGCAATTTTTAGAAGTTTAGGGAATATTCTGTGTTCCAACAAAATATTCTGTCCACTGCACTGACACTGTCTACCACTTTAATCTTCTTACCTTTTACAAAAACTCAAATTCCAAAATCTGGCCGTACGGATGTGTCCAGAATACTCTAAATAGTTGGAAAACACTATTGGATTGCCAGAAACGGACTTCGAATGGCTTCGATCAAGTGAAAACATTTTGTACGCCTTAGATCTGCGGCTACACCTTAGCCGAGAAGCACTGGATCACTCCTTCTGCGGCTACACCTTAGCCGCCTCGCACTGGATCCCTCCTCTGTGTCCTGACGTGTCAGATGACGTGGTGTTGATTGGTTGCCACGCGGCACTGACTGGTCTGCCACGTGGCGCTGACTGAACCGTTGACGTGGCAGTCCATGGCTGACGACGGTACCACGTGTCACCGACGTGGCGTGATGACGTGTCACCGACGTGGCGTGATGACGTGTCTCTGACGCGGCGCCACGTAGCCCGCGCCTGGTGTGCACGCGCTCCCCCCACTCACCTTCTTCCTTCTGCCGCGCGTGTGGCGCGTGTACGTGACTGGATCTACGCGCCGGTGACCAGGACGGCACGTGAAGGCGCGTGCTGAGACTGGGACTCACGCGCCATATTCAGGAAGCGCGTGAGGGCGCGTCCTTGCTCCTCTGGGTGTCTTCTTTACATTTCTAGACTCCTCTCGTCGAGTTCTTGCTCCCGGTATGCTCAAAATCAGATTTTGAGCAATTCGATTTCTAGACAGTTTCAAAAATCACACTGTTTTTTGTTCCGAAACGCCATCGACGAGGCTCTGATACCACTTGTTATGGTTATGGAACACCATAAATCAATTCCACACAATAACACTAGAATATTTACGTGGTTCGGCAATTTCCTACGTCCACGGAGAGGTATCCACTATAGAATTATTCCGGAGGGAGATTACAGAAAGATTACAATAGAGGAGGAGCTCACACTCTCCTCACTCACCCACTCACCCATCTCCCTCGGTACATGGCCAGCTTGTTCCAACATGTTGCCACACATGAGAAATGATCACCCCTCACATGGGGTGATCTCCAACAATTGCCGTCTCCAAGCCATTCATGTATGTGCTGATTATGCATATAATAGCTGCCCTGTGAGTTGTGATATCTTAATCTAGTTTTCCCTATAAGACCAGTTTTCATTCACTAGGCCAATATTGTTAAAATCTGATTGCAGACAGCTATTAAGTGTGTTGCATTTTTTATCTAAGATTTTAGTGTGATAAAACTGGATGTTTTTTGGGAACAAGTTTTTTTAGCAACTTTTTGGCTTTCTGGTTAAAATATGATATAAAAAAAACTAATATGTTTGAGATGATTTTTTAATTTTTTACGAAAAGATGTGCAAAAAGTAGAGAGAAAAGGAAATTTTTGACTTTTTGGTATAGGTTGTTAGCTTTTTGATTTTTTTAGTAACTTTTTGACTTTTAAGCTAAAAAGCGATGTTGCCAAACAAGGCGTAGCTGCTTTTGTTTTCCATTTTGCCTTTAATACTCAAATGTTTAAACTTAAAAATATTGGTGTGGTAGTTAGATATTTGTGTTTTTGTTGATTGTTGACTATTTAGCATTTGGAATGGTAGTTGCTTTTATGGCTTTTGGAATTCTTATTAATTTTTTGTAAGTTATTTATTTATTTTTAAATTCTTTCTCTTATTGTTTATAACTTATGAATTTTCGGTTTTGCCTATGTTGGATCTTGAATTATATGTCTATGTTGAATTGCTTGTCTTTGATCAACAACGTTTGTCTCAATTTGGTGAAGCCTGCACCTCACTTCGCACCTAGGCCCCAAAAGACCTTGGCGCATCGGCGCACCTCTCACCTTAAACGACTCTACAACTCTCTCTCTCTCTCTCTCTCTCAATTTGTGTTTTTGATACTTTGTAGGGTGTTAGCCTGCTATGATTTCCAAAGCTGTCAAAATAAGTATATCTGATTTTTTTTCTTCCAGTTATATTTCTTGTGTTGTTGGGTGCCCAATTGAAGGAGCAATAGCTCCATCAAAAGTAGCATACGTGGCAAAAGAACTTTTTGATATGGGATGCTTTGAAATATCCCTTGGTGATACGATTGGTGTTGGTACTCCAGGTAATTCTAAGGTGATTTTTATTTTTTTGATTAGTTTCTACAGTTCATAGAATATGAGAAATCAGTAATGACATACATTTGAAGTATTAGTTTGTTGCTGACAACATAATTTATCATAAGAGAGCCTGTAAAAAATCTGAGGTTTACTTAAATCTTTCTAATTTCTTGTATGTTCTCATTTGAAGTACTATTTCAAAACTTTAATCTGTCATATGCTATGTTTGACTAGTTAGCTGTTGACCAGCCATCATATGGTCTATTTGTGATTTCATAAAAAAAATATTTTTGAGTTTTAGTCCGGGGGATTGAACCCCTAAACCAAATTGGATTAACTGGTTCAACCAGTTGATCTGTGAACCAGTCACTGTACTTGGTCAATGTTTGGCATGTGGGTAGGGTCATTCTATTTCCACACACCACCTTTTCTCAATTCAAACCCTTTTTTTTTTGGAACAGATATCAATTACCGAACAAAAAAACTTATGGTTTGGATATCAATTACCGAACCAAAGGTATAGCCGAACCATGGGTTTTTGTTTGGTAATTAATATTTGAACCCTTTTTTCTTTGGTAGTTGATATTCGACGAAAAGAGGGTGTGACCTGAGAAAAACGTGTAAATTGATGCTCCCATGGGTGCAACTTTGCATTTGGCGCCAACTGATCCATCAACCTTGACTGGTATGATGTAACAACTTGGGAACAGTATATTTGAACGGATAATGTGCATGTTTGTTTGCTTTTCTCCCTTGCAAAGGATGATAAGATTAATTATAGAATTGAAATAAAATATGTATATCAACTAAAAACTTGGTGTTTAATAAATCCTTTAGTTAATGCCATTTCCTGAATTGTACATACTGTTTTTTTTCCCTCTTTCACTTATTTCTATTTATTTACCGCTCTTTCTTTTTGCCTAGGTACTGTTATTCTAATGCTTGAAGCTGTTATTGATGTTGTACCTTTGGAGAAGCTCGTTATTCATTTCCATGACACTTATGGGCAAGCTCTTTCAAATATTCTTGCATCACTCCAAGTAAGCCATCTTTTCATGTTAATCCATAGAAACCCAAACCTGTTATGACAGATCAATCACACTTCATATTTCAGGTGATCAAGGCCGAAGTTAAACCATCTATTGTGCTTGTATGCACACACTGGTTTTAAAAGTAATTCGGGCCCACCTTTCAACAAGTTTACTATAGGTTTCTCTGGCCAGACATCAATTTACTCTAGTTTCCTTATGTTTTATTTAAAATTAAAATAATTTTTTTGGATGAACTATTTTTTGAGCTTTTAGATGTATTGTGTTGCAAAATGGATTACAATTGAATGAATTGTTCTTAGGTAAGGTTTTGACATTTTGTTTCTTGACAGTAGTCAAGAGTCAAGACAAATAGACTTTGAAGTAAATAGTGGAAAAAGTAATTGAAATGCATCCTAATAGATAAGTAATAGTCATTAATTGGCTACCTTTGCTAGTTTCCGTCCTGAAATTGAAGCCTTCAGTTGAAGGAAAAAGGTGAAAATATTTTCATTTTTTCGGTTTGTCATATATTAAGACTAGAGATCAGTGGTTTCCTCTATCCTAATGCTAATCTAATCCATTCATGACTTGTATTTAATATTTCATTGATCCTCTTTTAGAACTTGATTGATATCCCCTATCTAGTGGCGGTGTCCCTTTGCTGCAATGATTTTTGCATAATGTGGAGGAATATTGAAATTCAGCCAAAAGAATATTGTTAGAAATTGGGCGTCCATGTGGCATGACCCTTTGAACCTTTTGAACCTTATCCATATAAGTTTGAATTTGAATTCAAAACTTACTTGGATAACCACTCAGGATATCCATATCTATCATATCAACTGATATGGATAGATGAGATATTATCCAACATATCTGATATAATATGGGATATGGATGATTAAGAGAAAAAACAATGTATGTCGTATGTTTTTCCCATATACTGACTCTCTCCCAAAATACAACGATCAAGAGTCATTTTGCACTGTGACTTGTGTGAGTGATATTCATTCTGTAATATCACTCCATTGCTGGGTTGATTGATCAGATTCAGGAAGCACGTGATTTACCCACGAGATCCTTCAATTCAGACTCTGCAAAAAAAGGTATGACCATAATTTTTCATCCGCTGCGTTTACCTTTGATTTACATTGGTATCAGAGCAAATATGGATATTTTCGTGCTTATTTTTATGCATAAAAATATGTGTATATTTTTATATAAATATATATACATGATATATGCATGAATATTAATAAAGGAGGAAGATGTCTTATTTTTTATGTTCTTTAAATGTTATTTTTAATGCCATAAATGTTTTTATTGTGAAAAATGGAGTCCGGCAGTACAAAAATCAAACCAGAAAACACCCTGGATGGCGGAGTGTGGGCCTCACGCGCCACCTGACGCCGTGGGAGGCTTCCACGCGCCTCCACGTGCTGCCACGCCCTTGCACGCGCCTCCACGCGCCAGATACGATTTAGACGCGCTTCCACGGGTCGTCACGGGCGCGTCAGCCGCGCTGTCCACGCGCATGCCCTCTGCGCTACACGCGCGCGCCGCGTGCTGAGCCGCGCCGTTTTCCTCTGTCAGCTTGGCTGGCTTGGCTGCTGATGCATAAGGCACTGTTTGTTTTGTTTTTAATTCTGAATCGCGTTAAATGGTCATAATTAATTCGTTATACAGAAATTTTCAGAAGTGATATACTTTCTGTTTTGGCATTATTTGAATATTAAATACAATATATTTTTGTTTTTTGCCTAGAGTTTCTAATATGTTGTAATTAGAATAGCATGATTAATTGTTATTTGTTTAAATTCCATTATTAATTGTGACATAGCATGAGTTGGTTGTGAATCTACATTATGATGCTATTGTATGGAATTAGAATTTTTTGTCATGCTTTTAGACATGCCATAGTCAGTGAGAGGTTATTCGGTTGAGAGAAATCTTTGTAAATTAACTCCCGAAAACCAATATTTTGCATATAAATTAAATTAAATTTTGGATAATTGTCATCTGTGGCGCAAGAGATGATTACGAGCATAGCGGATTTTCGATCTTGCGACTTGTGTAATATTGTCACTATTTAATTTAGATTTTTGTGGCAAAATTATATTATGCTAATCAAATTAATCCCAATGCGAATTTCTCTCTAAATTGACTTAGCTTATGGAAGTTAATTGGTTGACCTAGACTTAGTAAAGATGTTCAAATGTGAACAATATAATCCCATTCTTTAGATGAGCAAAAATCTTGGAGACTTTAGGTCAAACCTTAATTGAGCCAAAGTAAGGAAACATGACTCAAAGTCGCCGTGGTTTTGTTGCCTTGTTTGGCATAATAAAAACTAATGTGTGTGCTATGGTTAGCGGTACGCTACGCAGTTTTGGTTGGCGAGTTTTGGAGTTATGAAATTAGTAAGCCCTCAATAGATCTGTATATGATCTTGACTATTGAGCTGCGCAGATTGACTTTGTAATTTGACTTGTAAATAACGTTACATTATTGAATGAAGTAACAATCAAGAGTCACGTCATCCAAGAAATGCGAGCTTAAATAAATTAGTCATTAAGTGTAAGACGAGCAGCCAGTATGAGTAGTGTTTTGCTCTCTACCCAATTATTGGGAGTGGATGGAGCAAAATTTCATGCACTATAATAGTGTGCGTTGAAATATCACGTGAAATGAAAAGATTAGCACTTAGAAGCTGCAAAATCTATTAACACTAAGTGAAAAGATTAGCGCTTAGTGGCTGAAAATCTATTAGCATTGCCAACTTGTCTAAGTCTGGACACTTACTGTTTCCACACTTGAGTGTGAGACATGAGGAGGGGCTTCTTTGTATGATTCCTTAGCTAGGCTAAAGTTTTTTAACGTTTACCACTAAACGCAAACGTTACAGCATAATAATGAAAAGGTCAAGGCCGACAAGGTTGTTATGACTCTAAGAATTTGACTCATGGCTCGTGAGAGCATTGTGTTGAATTAGACTCTTTAGCCTAATTCGCGTTTAAGTTACTTCAGGAGCTTTCATAGTTGATAGCTTATTCTCTCCTTCTTGTGGATAGTAGAATTAATTGCACGTATTCCTTAGCTAGGCTAAAGTTTTTTAACGTTTACCACTAAGCACAAACGTTACAGCATAATAATGAAAAGGTCAAGGCCGACAAGGTTGTTATGACTCTAAGAATTTGACGCATCGCTTGTGAGAGCATTGTGTTGAAATTAGACTCTTTAGCCTCATTCGCGCTTAAGTTACTTCAGGAGCTGTCATAGTTGATAGCTTATTCTCTCCTTCTTGTGGATAGTAGAATTAATCGCACGTAACTATGTAGCGAGAAATAGATATGGCAAGAGGAGTATCGTCATCTTTCAACTAGATGCAGTAAAGTGTATGGAGAATAAAATTGACTTGACGGTGCAGGGGATTAGCACTTAGTAGTTAAATTTTCGACTTAGGCGCACTTGATATTTCCATGACATCCTTTTTATGATATAGTGAATATGAATTAGTCGTGAGTCATTACCAAGTTGGGCCTAAACCTTTAAAACTTGTCTTCGAGAACTCACACATTAAGATGATTGGAATTAGTTTATGACATTGGTCATGAACCAGTGGCTTATTATACTTAATCGCATTAATGAGATGATGACACGATGGTTTGAGTAGGCCTTCTCGGGCCCACTCGCTTATGACATCCTGCCCTCATGTGAATGTGTAACTTTGTTCGCAATGGGTGTGCACAAGTAAGTAGGAAAGCCGTAGAAGGTCATTTGTTTTGGCGCATTTAGTCTACTATGATATTTGTGGCTAAATATGTGTAAGGGTATGATAGCTAAGCCTCAATTTTGACACATTTATAGATTACGATACGCATCTGAGTCAAGACTATTTGATCTCCCATAAGTCAAAAGTTTTGAGATGATTTTTCGACATTGCACATATGAGGTTGAGATCAATTAGATAATAGCTTTCGTGCCTTTAGTTTTGACCAAGGTGGCGAGTATCTATTTGAGTTATTTTAGAAAAATCTGTGAAGAGAGATGGATGCTTAGAAAATTGATTATTCCTAGTACTCAACAACACAATGGTGTAGTAGAGATAAGGAATTAAATATTGTTAATGTTAGGTGGATAATGGCGCAAAATGTTTCGCAATTGGGAATTGCACTAGTTTGTTGCCTATATCCCTAACTAAGTGCCCTCCATATCAGATTTTTCACTCCATTTGAGTAATGGGTTAGCGAAGAGCCATCTATGGGCGATCTGTAACTGTTAAGCAGCTTATCTTTATTTTACTTCTCATGAGATTGCGAAGTTAAGACCTAGGGTTCTATAGCGCATTATTGTATGCTGTCTTGTAAACACAAAGGGTCGTGTGACGCATTATTGTATGCGGTCATGTAAACCCTCCGGGTCATGTGCATATAGGTAAGTAGCTTTGTGGTAGTGTAACTAAGTCACATAAAGTTTTATTAGTAAATGTGACGTGAATAGAGCTTTTGGAACTTTATAAGATAGATAATTCTAAGCATAGTGCTCTATGTAGCCTAGTTGAGAATGGAAAGAAATTTCCAATATCCTAGGGACAGTGGGAGCGATGTGCCTACTAATGGATTACTCCATTAGAGAAGAATACTCTACATTCTTAGTTGCGTGGTAGCAAATGTGAAAATTTTCCACGTCATCACTGGGTGATTGAGAGGGAAAACATTCATGATTGCTCCGCAAGATGATAAAGAGCCTAGGATAATGCCTAAGGCTCTAGTCACCTATTTTTAGAAAAGTGGATCAATGTTGCGCAGTTTAAGACAAAGTCTTTGAGGATTAACCATTTCTATAATTTGGTTGACTTTCCATTATGACGCAAAACTGTTCTAAAGTTATGCGTAATTTGTATAGTTATTGTTGATGCATAAGGCTCGCTAGATACCGAAAAGTCGCGCCATTGAGGAAAGTGTAGACCATGAGAAGACTTCCTCTTGGGGAGTGAGGTTATTTTGACTTAGGCTATGATTGACAAAAGTTTGGAACATTGATTTGTGGACATTGTGATCCAACTTTCTCGTTAGAGAATTAGATAAGTAGATCCGTAGGGATTTACCTTCTGTTTTTATGAAAAGTTAGGAGCGCAAAAAGGTTGCTAGTTCCAATAAATCTTTTACAGCCTAAAACAGTTATCCAAATAGTGGTTCTTAGATTTCGT